GATTACACATTACACTTACAGCTTGAGCAATATGCATCAGGTGAAGTTTGGTAGCTAATCTCTAGTACACAAACTCCTGACTTTTATATGTTAAAGGGGTAACCAATACCATTTCTTGTTAAGGCGTTACCAGAGCAACCAGATTTAAAGAATGATTTGTCAGCTATTGGATATTTGAAAACAGCTGTTTGTGTCAATCATACAGTTTACCTATCTTTTGTGCAGCACTTACTGGTCCAGTGGCTTTAAATGCTCTGGATCTGGGGAGCCACAGGAATGAAGTCTGGAAAAGTACCTGGAGCAGAGGAGGGAAAGGCCTGTGACGTTTTTGGTCTCCCCTGCATTGGGTGGTCAGTTACAGCTGTGAATTAATACACTGCACAAAAAAAATTAAAGAAACACTATGAAAACACATCAGATCTCAATGGGGAAAATATCATGCTGGATATCTATACTGACATGGACTGGGTAATGTGTTAGGAACGTAAGGATGCTCCATTGTTCGATTGAAATTAAAATTATCAACCTACAGAGAACTGAATTCAAAGAGTCAAAGTGAAAAAATGATGTAGCAGGCTACTGAAATTTCATTGCAGCAACTCAAAATGGAATATAGTAGTTTGTATGGCCCCCACGTGCTTGTATGCATGCCTGACAATGTCGGAGCATGCTCCTAATGAGATGACGGATGGTGTCCTGGGGTATTTCCTCCCAGATCTGGACCAGGACAACATTGAGCTCCTGGACAGTCTGAGGTGCAACTTGGCATCGTTGGATGGTCTGAAACATGATATCCCAGAGGTGTTCTGTTGGATTTAGGTCAGGTGAGCGTAGGGGCCATTCAATGGTATTAATTCCTTCATCCTCCAGGAACTTCTTGCATACTCTTACCACATGAGGCCAGGCATTGTTGTGCATCAGGAGGAATCCAAGACCCACTGCACCAGCTTAGGGTCTTACAATGGGTCCAAGGATTTCATCCCAATCCCCAATGGCATTTAGGGTGCTATTGTCTAGCCTGTAGAGGTCTGTGCATCCTTCCATGGATATGCCTCCCCAGACCATCACTGACCCACCATCAAAATGGTCATGCTGAACGATGTTACATAACTTCTCCATGGCTTCTCCAGACCCTTTCACATCTGTCACATGTTCAGGGTTAACCTGCTCTCATCTGTGAAAAGCATGGGGTACCAGTAGCAGACCTACCAATTCTGGTATTCAATGGCAAATGTCAATTGAGCTCTATGGTGCTGGGCAGTGAGCACAGGGCCCCACTAGTGGACGTCGATCTCTTAAGCCACCCTCATGAAGTCTGTTTCTGATTGTTTGGTCAGAGACATTCACACCAGTGGCCTGTTGGAGGTCATTTTGTAGGGCTCCGGCAGTGTTCATCCTGTTCCTCCTTGCACAAAGGAGCAGATACCGGTCCTGCTGATGGGTTAAGTACCTTCTACATCCTTCTCCAGCTCTCCTAGAGTATCTGCATGTCTCCTGGAACCTCCTCCATGCTCTTGAGACTGGGGGACACAGCCTTCTATGCCATCTCCACATGTAAAACCATTCCTGTTTTGCGGATCGTCTCATTGTTGCCCATCTAGTGCACCTGTTAATTTTGATTGACACCAAAGCAGCTGAAACCGATTAACAACCCCCTCTGCTACTTAACTGACCAGATCAATATTCCAGGAGTTTAATTGACTTGATGCTATACTGAGATTAAAAAAGTGTTCCTTTAATTTTTTTGAGCAATGTATAATGTTTTATACTGAGATCCAGTGAGGAGAATTTTTATTGCCTACCCAACTGGGAATCAGCTTTAGGATACTTAAGACTAGGCACATGTAAACAGGGGTCACTATGTTGCTCCTTTAAAATCCTTCCAGGAAGCACAATTAATTAATTTCCTTCCTGGCAGGATCTTAAACAAGCTTGAGGTGAAGTTTGACCCAGGGAGAAGCTGGCTGATGGGAAGAGCTTTGCCAGGGAGAAGAGTCATGACATAGGGGAGAAAACATTTATTCTTCAGTACTTCAGGAAAGGGAACCTCTACTATTGGGCGAGTCAAAGTAAAACATGTGAAGAAAACCTTTTGTGTGTTTTTAAATTTTACTTCTCAATAAAAGTGGGCAGAAAGCACTGAAACTTCACTGGCTGGACTGAAGTTCATGAAAGGCGCTACACTGCTGAACCCCAAAGATAATAAAGAGATAGACACCATATATAAATTCTATGGAAAATGTGACATCAATAGAATGTGGGATGAACATATACAATATATAAACAGCACCAAAAACTACCAAAATATAGCTTTACGTCCTTTATGTGGAAATTGTGCTGTCATAATATTAACTTCCTCTTGGAAATCTGACAAACCATCACTACATTTCCTTGGAAGATGACTATATACTGAGTTTTTTTAAATATTTGAGAACTTGGAAAGAATACAATTATGTATATCCCCAGGTTTCCTATATGATTTGGTTAAAATGTCTTGCCTCAGTAAATATATTTAGGCCCAAAAATTAAACTAATTTATGGACTATTTATGCCAATATTAGGAGTTACATTGAAAGCGTTCAATGGTTATTTGCTCCTAAGAAAAGTTTCCAATTTAAAGAATAACTTATTTTGAGAAAAAAAACAATCCCCACCTCTTCCTTCATGGGTGACCAATGTACAGAGGATTTTGCAGTGATTTTACCAAACTGTATCAAATTCCTACCTTATGCTGCGTCTTTGTTTCACCATGTCCATTTCAGACTGATTCTGAATGGGAGGGTCTGGTTCATTTTAATCACCTGGTGAGTATCTCACCCAAACTGAATGTTTCTACTACAGGAGTAGTGATGGGCTGCACACCCCCGGAACGAAAGGTCGACCACGAACTTTGAACTTAATGCAAGTCTAAGGGATTCAAACTAGTAAATTCAAAAGGGCCAATTTTGAAGGCTTATATGCAAGTTATTGGCTATAAAAAGGGGTATGGGCACTGCCCTGAGGGACATGAATCAGTGAAAGAAAAAAAAAATTCAAAAAAGTACCATTTTGGGGCAGTCATTTTTCATTGCTTAAAGATAAAAAAAAAATCCTTTAAATATCATGTCTGGGGGACCCCTTAAACTACCTGCAAAGTTGCACATCTGTACAATGTAAAAAACCTGCTGCAGCAGGACTGACTTTTTTTTTAAATTACATTTTTATAAAAAAAAAACAGCGTGGGGTCCCCCCCAATCCATACCAGACCCTTTTAGATCTGGTAGGAAAGTTAGGAGGGACCCCACAGTAAACAAAAGCCATTTAGGCCTGGTAGGACTTTTAAGGGAAATCCCATCCCCAAAAAATGGGTGAAAAAAAGCATGGGGTCTCTCTTAAATTCCTACCAGACCCTTGATCCAAGCACAGGCCTGGCAGGGCAGGAAAAAGGGGGGCGACGAACAAGCCCCCCACCCCTCCTGAACTATACTAGGCTATATGTCCTCAACATGGGGGGTGCTTTGGGGGTAGGGCGAATCCGCCCAAAGCACCTTGGACACAAATTCAGGTCCTGTTAACGCATTTCACACGATCTCGTGCTTAATCAATAATGCTTATGATTAAGCATGAGACTGTGTGAAATGCGTTAACAGGTTCTGTATTCATGTCCTGGTGTTTTGTGTGTCCTATGGATCAATAAATACACACTATATTCATCTATCCTCCGGTGTGCAGCTGACCCTTCTTCCTATTATAATCACTAAGTGAATTAAAAGCTTGGATCTAATAGGTAAGTAGGAGGACTGAGTATGAAGAGATGTCAACAGTACATTAGTTGGAGACATATACAGTATAGAGTGGAGATGATGGAGTGGTGTGTATTGTGCACTTTATGAAGTGGATAAGGTAAAAGATTACTAGGGTCAGGTAATTGATGCTTCTTAAGAGCGGTGTCCCAAAGGACCTCTTGAAGCATTCAGCATTTGTGGAAAGTCTAATGGAGAGAGGGAATGTTTCAAACTAGGGTGTGTTTACAAATGCATTTGTGCTTTGCAACAGTCCGGCTTGGGTAAAAACCTTTCCAAAAGAGATGAAATATGCTGTTTAAAATTTTAAATTGCTTTTATTCCTACTTATGGAAATTCAAAGTAAATGCCTTTTAAAAGTTTGATAAACAGATTGTGAAAACCACTATGATAAAAAAATTATCTACTTTGTAGGGCTGCAACAGAAGTTCAAATATATAAAAATGAAACATAAAAACACAGTTTGTTAAAACATAATAAATGCACCACAATGACAACCATTTATGCCTAAAATCATTTCTTCTGAGTTTAATTTTAAGCTACACTATATTGCCAAAAGTATTGGGACACCTGCCTTTACATACCCATGAACTTTAATGGCATCCCAGTCTTAGTCCATAGGGTTCAATACTGAGCTGGCACACCCTCTGCAGCTACAACAGCTTCAACTCTTCTGGGAAGGCTGTCCACAAGGTTTAGGAGTGTGTCTATGGGAATGTTTGTTTGACCATTCTTCCAGAAGAGCATTTGTGAGGTCAGGCACTGATGTCAGATGAGAAGGCCTGGATCGCAGTCTCCGCTCCAATTCATCCCAAATGTGTTCTAACAGGTTGAGCTCAGGACTCCGTGCAGGCTAGTCAAGTTCCTCCACCCCAAACTTGCTCATCCATGTCATTATGGACCTTGCTGTGTGCACTGGTGTGCAGTCATTTTGAAACAGGAAGGGGCCATCCCCAAACTGTTCCCACAAAGTTGGGAGCATGAAACTGTCCAAAATGTCTTGGTATGCTGATGCCTGAAGAGTTCCCTTAACTGGAACTAAGGGGGTTCAGTATTGAGTTGGCCCACCCTTTGCAGCTATAACAGCTTCAACTCTTCTGGGAAGGCTGTCCACAAGGTTTAGGAGTGCTTTAGAGTCCAGTGGAAGTATGCTTTACACCACTGCATCTGACGCTTTACATTGCCCTTAGTGATATAAGGCTTGGATGCAGCTGCTCGGCCATGGAAATCAATTCAATGAAGTTCTCCTATGTGCTGGTTTTGTGCTAATCTGAAGGCCACACGAAGTTTTGAGGTTTTTAGTTATTGATTCTGCAGACAGTTGGCGACTTCTTCATACTGAGCGCTTCAGCATGTGCTGACCCTGCTCTGTCACTTTATGAGGCCTACCACTTCGTGGCTGAGTTGCTGTTGTTCCCAGTTACTTCCACTTCGTTATAATACCACTAACAGTTGACTGTGGAATATTTAAAAACAAGGAAATTTCATGGATGGACTTATTGCACAGGTGGCAACCTATCACGGTACCACACTTGAATTTGTTAAGTTCCTGAGAACGACCCATTCTTTCACAAATATTTGTAGAGGCAGTCTGCATGCCTAGGGACTTGATTTTATACACCCGTGGCCATGGACGTGATTGGAACACCTGAATCCAATGATTTGGAGGGGTGTCCCAATACTTTTGGCAATTTAGTGTATGCTGCCCCTCAAAAAAAGTTTGAATTTACAGTATGTACTCACGATGAAATGGGCGCCTCAACTCCTGTATTTTTTATATAATTCCCCTTTTTGGATACCCTTGTGAATCTTTACTAACATCAATACTATATTACGGACTTCATTTGACAAAAAAAGGCCTCTCGTATAAAATTGGAGGTGTTCCAATATCCCAGGGATGCTGGGGGATAAGCAGTACCTAACCCAAGGATATATTTTCTTGCTCCTCAGCTACAGCATTTTGTGGGATGGGATTCCAAGTTGCCTACTAGTGCTGCCTATAGTTTACATTCTTACTTATGTGTTTGGGAGTCACCACCACTACTTGTTTTGGAAGGGGCATTGGGGATTTCCCTTACTGCTATGCCCACCCTGGTGCTAATGTGCAAGGTGTGGGATGCTGCCAAGAAAAAGATAGGGATTTCCTATCCTACCAGATACACTCCTATTTGGGGAAATGATAGGCTCCCTGAGCTTTCTATCCTCTGGGCTTTCAGAGGTGGAAGAGAGCTGGGGTTATTACCTTAGCCCAACTATATGATAATGGTTCTCTTAAAACTTATGAGCAGCTGAGGCCTGAGTTTCCCCTACATCCAAGGTGCTTTTATCAGTTTCTTCAATTCCGCCATGTGCTATCAGCCCGATTTTCTTCAATCGCAGTGGGGGTTTTTCCACCCCTGCTCTGAATAGAATAGTAGAAGCAATGTCAACCAATGGACTTATTTCTGATACGTAAATGGTCCTACTAGATACATTTTTATTGAGGCTTCCTAGTCAGTCTAGTTCATAGTCAATCCAGGGCATACCCTATCTATTAGCCCTATCTCTGAGTAGGTTTGGAGGGAGATCCTTCGGTTCTTCCCTTTTGTTTCTCTTTCCCCATTGCATAGATTAACTCAGATCCTTATTTTTCATAGGGTGAATAGTACCCCGAAATTCTTTATGCAATAGGCTTGCGATTCGACCCAGCCTGTGCCAGATGTGGCAATCCTGGTACCCTTATTCATCTACTGTGGCAGTGCCCTAAAATCCAGAGATATTGGGCGGAGGTGGTTAGTACACTTTGTAAGCTTTTGGATTTGGAATATTTCTGTTGAATCACTTACATGCCTTTTGGACTACCCTGATTCCTTTATTTACATGCCTCCCATGTTGAATACTATCTTACGTGCTCTTTTTTGTGGCCCATAGACAAGTTGCCCTTAAGTGGACCTCTCCACGCCCTCCTATTTTATCCGACTGGATTATTATCTTAATAGGCTTATTTATTTTGAAAAAATACATATTTTTTAAAGAAACTCAATGAGAAAGGTCTAAGATATTTGGTCACAATGGATTGAGTATATGTCCCCTGCGCTGGAGTAGGCTAACTTTTGTTTTAAGTATTAGCGCTCATGTATGGGAATATACATTATTCTTTCTTATAGATGCTTTGCTATGATGGTCAGCTGTAATTTTCCATCAATATGTTTGTATGCTCTGAGGAGTAGTTGCTATGTTCGGTTTTATTTTTGGTTTTGGTTTTGGTTTTTGTGATGTACTGTGTGATATGTTCAGTATGTTTTGTTTGTGTTTTTCAAGACTGAAAGTTTTTCTAAATAAAATTTTATATAAGAAAAAAGAATTTACAGTATGTATCTGTATATACGTAGAGTTATTCTTAAAATGGTTGTAGAGGCTCAAGGTTTTTTACCTTCATGCATTCTATGCATAAAGGTAAAAACACTTCTGTGTGCAGCATCCCCCCCAGCCCCCTTAATACTCACCTGAGCCCCCTCTCGATCCAGCAATGTGTGCTGGAGTCCCGGCTATCCCGGGACTCCCTCTCCTCATTGGCTGAGACAGCAGTGGGAGCCATTGGCTCTCATTGCTGTCAATCAGAGCTACTGAGCCAATGAGAAGAGAGAGGGGGTGAGGCCGAACCATGGGCTCCATGTGTGAATGGACACAGGAAGCAGCGGGTGCCCCCATAGCAAGCTGCTTGCTGTGGGGGCACCCGACAGGAGGGAGGGGACAGGAGCCCTGGAAGGGGACCTGAGAAGAGGAGGAATTGGGCTGCTCTGAGCAAAACCACTGCACACAGCAGGTAAGTACAGACATGTTTTTTTTTTTTAATGTAAGCCTACCACTTTAAATCTATTTTTTCTCTTGTTTTTAAAAACTGGCAATCCTTACCTAAGTTCCTGTTTCAAATAACGACAAGTATTGAAGCAGATCCATGGTATTGTGGTCATTTTGCAAGCATGTGATCACTGCTGGGAGTCATAGGATGTTGTGTAGACTCACGGTGTGCCTCTATCCCCCCTGGACAGTTGTGCAGCCATGACCTCCACCTAGCTCTTGTTGGTTTAGTAAGGTGGCGGTTTTTTACTTACACACACACAGTGATGAGGATGTCTGGTCATGTGACAACCAAATAAAAAGATTCTAAAAATTGGAACATAAGTGTGGTTGGAGCCATGTCATTCTATTTGCTGTAGTACAATGGCTTTTTAATGCATTCACAAATACTTTAATGTACATAAGCCCTTAAGATGGTACATCAGATAAAAAAAAAATGCACTTCTCTATGTACTTGTGTCGGAGTTGTCCTTGTGGACATTGTGTGAATCAAGCTGCAGAAAAGAAGAGAAAAACAACATAATATTCTATTCTCTTTCTTCCCGGGCCTGGGAGAGGGAATTTTATGCCAGCCTCATATGTATGTTTGGCTCAGAAATCATAAAAGAACTTGCATTATTAATACAAGGAACAGAAAGAATGGAGTATAGCCATGTCAACCCTGATTTAGCTGACCAATTTATTTAAATATATTATTTAGGTTAAAAAAAAACATAGGTCTACTAAGCATGACCTCTCTAAAACAGTTTTGGATCAGAGGAAGGCTAAACAAAACCCCCTGCACCATCAAGTACAAATCTTACCTTTCAGGGAAATAAAAATCCTTCCCTGACCCTAAAGAAAGTATATTAGTTCCTTGGATCAAAGGAAAAGCTAGACAGACTATCCTTAGTAATTATAATTCTAGACACAACTACAAGAAAATCATCTCAACGTTTTTGTAGATTCTGATACTGCCCATGCTCTTACTATTTGCTGTGGGTATATTATACAGCTTACTTTTATTACAGAGAACTTCTTCCTATACTGATGGCATTATCTATTTTCCTCCATAGCAAGCTGATGCTCCTTTGTTTTATATTTTGTCTTTGGAATAAAATTTTTGTCTGGCTATTATTTATATAATTGTATATTATGTTTTTTTCTAAATTAAACAAGCCCAATTCTTATCCTTTAATTAAAGCCCAATTCGTGTCTTTCATTAAACTTGAGATCCCCATCCCATTACTAATTTGGCTCCCCTACCAATTTACCCCCTAAAAATTCCCTATGCTCTTACAGCCCTAAACTATTCTCCATATTCCTGATATGGCATTATAAGCGACAGTGGCAACACTACACTGCTATTACATGTTTTTATTTCTCCTTTTTTATACACTCCAAAGTTTTATTTGCTTTTACAGCTGCTACTTGGCAATGCGTGCTGCTGCTTAGCCTACTGTAAAAAAGTACACCTAGGTCCATTTCCCAATGGCATTCCATGTAATGCAGATGGGGTGAATTCATTGATGAGAACTAGGAGTATAGCACAGTAGCTTAGTGGTTAGCATTTCTGCCTTTGAGCACTAGAGTCATCAGTTTCAGTTCAAACAACTCCCTACATGGAGTTTGCATGTTCTTCCTTTGCTTACATGTATTTCCCCTAGGTACTCTGCTTTCCTCCCACACTCCAAAGACATGCTAGTAGGTTGGATAGGCTCCTGTCTAAATTGGCCCTAGTATGTGTATATATAAATATAAGGTAGGGACTTTAGATTGTAAGCTCCTTGATGTGAATATACAATATGTAAAGTGCTGTGTAAATTGTCCATGCTATATAAATACCTGTAATAAAAAATAACCTGACATTTATCAACAATAAAGTATATGTAAACTCTAACAATGAACTTCTTTTATTTGCTCCCTTTTGGTCTGCTTAACATACCATTAAAACCATTTTTTTACACCTGTGCAAAAAAAAATACCTGTTGGTCCTGCCATGATCTCACAACTTCCTGTGCTCTCTGGCTCTGCTGTACTGCAATCCCTAGCAGTTTCATCAACCTTGCCCACTTCCCTTCCGTGGACTACAGAATACTCCTCTGTATGTTATGGAAATAAGGAAACAGGAACATTTTCTGTACTTCAGTCACTAGTGACCAGCGTAGGGAATCATCAATGCTCCTCCATAGCTACAGTACATTGAAGAAGCATTGTCTACCAAAGGCTCTTTCTTAACCTTTTGGAACCCATAAAATAATTTTCAGGTCTCAGGGAACCCCTACTAATAATTACTACATCTACAGCTTAATGTACATTGGTGTGATGGTCACTGAGAACAATGCTTCTTACATTTGTGGTCATTGACTAGAATCCCCCACTTACAGATAGCTGAAAAGCACATTGTTGTCAGTGGTTAATCATATAAGAGGCAGAAAGTTTTCATTGCTCAGCGCACCCCAAGTAACCTCTGGAGGAAGCCTAGGGTTCCATGGAACCCTGGTTGAAAAAGGTTGCCCTAGAACATAAAGTGTATTGCTTGCTGGATCACCAGATTAACCTCTTCCCACTGATGTGGTGCATATATACGGCTTTGCAATGGGTGGGCTTTAACGCGGAGAGGCCGCATATATGCAGCCCTATGTAAACACTTTTCTATGCTGAGAGCCCTCCCAGCACAGACTCTGGCAGGAACCAGAAAGCTCCCAATGCATACTAGCAATTGGGAGCTTTCCAATCACGTGATTGCTATGACAGCCAATCACAGAAATCACATGA